ACCCCCCCCCCCCCGAGGTATGCCTAAATAACCGGAAGGGCCCTGTGGTATTAATAATTACACTCACCCCCCTGAAAGGTAGTTAAAAACTCTAACGAGATAATGTATTAGATACATTATTCCGATTGGGTTCTAATGGACTATTACTTTTAGCTAGTGGTGAAGACAACAAAGAGTTATGGGTGATTTAAAAAATATTGGGGGAGCCATGTCACCCCATAACTCCCCATAACTCTATGTTATTTCCACAACTAGCTAAAAGTAATAGTCAAATAGAACGCTATCGGAATAATGTATCCAATGCATTACCCCGTTAGAGTTTTTACTACCTTTCAGGGGGGTGAGTGTAATTATTAATACCACAGGGACCTTACAGTTATTTAAGTATACCTCAGGGGTGTGGGTGTTATTTACCCTTTTTTTTTTTATGTTTTTGTGCTTAATTGTTTTTGTGTAACAAATTTAGTAATTCTTTTGTTTTTATGAATCTGTGTATGTAACAATATGTTTTACTGCCCGTATTTGTAACCATGTAAAGCAACATCTAATATATTTTTGATAGTTTATAAAGTGTGATGTCACATTTAGAATTGGAAGTATTAAATAATTATTATAAAAAAAATAACACAACCCGAACCCGACCCGAAATAACCGGTTACCCGGTTATTTCGGGTCGGATTCGGGTAATATTACCCAAATAACCGGACCCGAATAACCCGACCCGACCCGAATGCCCACCCCTACTTGAAAGTAGGTATTGTTTTATTTCAAATGGTTGCGTCGTCAAAAAGCAACTTTAAATAATACTCCAATGGAAGAAGAAAGAGAGACACAAGTTAATTACATCTTAAATTAAGTAAGATGGAGTTCTTGAATTCTCTTCTTATATTTCAAGATTTTAAGAATCCAAGGAGCTTTAACTTTCTTTATATTGTAATAATAATCTCTGCCTAAAACAATTGTACATAAATGCAGAATTAAGCTTCGATTAGATATATATAAACGTGCACGTATAAGTAGATTCAATTAAAACCCGATTAATTACAAGGAGATTTAAATGTGTGTGTTCGTTTACTGTACTTAATCTTCTTTTATTGTATACATCAAACATATATAGTGATGATGGTTGAGTTTTTGATGGGGTACATTAATTATCATGTCTTTGTTAATAAATGAATTTTAATTACACGTTAATACTCTTTCTAAAATGAATTGGTTGATCATTTATTTAGCACATATCTTGATTAGATGTCAAAATTAATTAGCTCCAACTACAAAATCATCATCTAGGTAACTATAAAATCATGCAAGAGTCATATATATCTTTGTATATAACATTTTTTATAAGGGATTAATATATTTTGAACTTTTGATAAATGGAGAGAAAAGAAGAACAAAATCGTTCTTTTGCAGAAATCGATAATTGTTCAAAGGATCACGAGTTCCACGAGTTTCTCAAAACACTCGAACAACAAATCAGTTGGGATGGCGTCAGATTCGTTAAATACCAAGGCTTTTGGTGTGCGTTGTATTTATTCCGACAAATATTGTCGGCTCAAAAGCACTTCAAAGCAAAGGATTCTCATATAATATTGGCAAGCCTACCTAAATCAGGAACCACCTGGCTGAAATCCCTCACTTTTTCCATAGTCAATCGCAATATTTACCCTAATCATGAAGAAAGCCCTTTATTCACTTGCCATACTCCCCATCTTTTTCCTAACCTCGAATTCGATCTTTATTGGGAACAAGAAAATCCCAATCTCCAAAACATTCAAAATTTCTCGACTCACGTGCCTTTCCATAGCCTCCCCAAGTCCATCATTGAATCCGAATGTAGGATTATCTACATTTCCAGAAACCCTTTGGATATGTTCATCTCATATCGCCATTTCTCACTTGAAAACAAGTTCGTAAAAGATGCAACCCCATTCGAGTTGGACGAGGCTTTCGACATGTTTTGCAGGGGAATTCATATTATGGGGCCCTTTTGGGACCATGTGCTTGGATTCTGGAATGCCCATTTGGAGAATCCTCGTAAAGTGTTGTTTCTAAAGTACGAGGATTTAAAAGAGGATGTCACTTTCAATGTGAAGAAAATTGCCGAGTTTCTTGGGTGCCCTTTCTCGCCGGAGGAAGAAGAACAAGGCGTGGTTGAAGAAATCACAAAGCTATGCAGCTTTGAGAATTTGAAGAAGTTGGAGGTGAACAAGAATGGACATGTTTATGGTATTGTGAAGAAAAGTTCGTACTTTAGGAAGGGAGAAGTTGGAGACTGGATCAATTATCTCACTCCCGCCATGGCTGAACGCATGGATAAGCTCATTGAGACCAAGTTCAAGGACTCTGGTCTAGTCTTCAATACACAAAGCAAGGTCGTGAAGAATTAATAAAACGTACGCGCTCGTGTGCGTGTGTCTATATATATGAGATCATAATATGAATTGGTAAATAAATGTGTACTATTATCACATATTATGAATTGCTATGTGTTTTGCTGAAAACTATATCTTAATTGTAATTTTATAAAATAAGGGTGTAAAACCATGTATATGGTTATTGAGATTTACATGCATGCATTATTAATTATATATTGTGAATTGAGATATACATATGCCTTGTTTATTAATAATAAACTAAATAGCTTGACAATATTAGGACTGAGTGATATAAGTTGTGTTTGTATTTGACAGTATCAAATACCAAAAGCATGCACTAGTGCTAAATCAAATACCAAATGTTTTTGAGGAAGAAAATAAAGAGATCTTAAGAAAAATCATAAAAATATTATATTTGGAATGAGTTTTAAAGGTGTTTTATTTTGACACTATTCTAATCAATCAAAATTCAGAAAATTAACTAAAACCATGCACTAGTGTTTTATGTTTACCCGTTCAATACAACAACATTAAATTTATCTTCTTGTGTTACACTGTAACATTGGGGTTCAACAACACAATAACATTGTCCGAAAAAAGATAAAAAAATAATAATTAATATTACTTTACAAAGCAAAAAAAGAAAACATGAAAAAAAATTAACGTTACTATGTCGACTTGATAAAAAAAAACCTCAAAAGCAACGGCGGTTAAAATTGAGATCAATGATCAAAATTGGTTAATTGATGAAATTAATGTTATATGAGAGTTTGATTAATAAAACTGAAGTAAATTTATTAAAATTGAAGGGGTGCTTGTCTTTGCTGATCTTGTATGAAAAAAAAAAGAATCATGTTCTTGCTTTTAGATAAATTAGTTTTTTGTCGTACTTAATTGTTTATAAGTTATTTCTTATGGGTCGATTAATAATTGCCTATATATATGATAACTCAAGGACAATTTGTAGAGATAATTATAGTTTCAGTCATCATACTATACACCCAAATTGATTTTAGTCCCTATATGTTTTGCCACGATTTTAGTCCTCAAACAAGCTACTTGTTTTCAATTTTGATCTGCCGTCTGAATTGAGGGTGAATTTGTTGGAAATTTTGTTAAAAATAATAGTATTGTAGTTTGAATGAAAATAATTTTGTAAAAGTGTCTAGACGTGCATTCAAAATAAAAAGGTGTTGTGCCTTTTCAAGTAGAAATTTCCATGGGGTTGTGTTGTTTGTCACACCCTCCACATATATAAATAAAACCTCCATGAATGATTTTAATTGAAATAACAATACAAATTCAATTCCATAAATTTGCTCTATGGAATTCATCTTTCTTTAGTCCGAATATATTCTTCGTAGAATATTTATTTCCGCATTCGATTCGAGAGCTTGAGACAAAAAGTAACGTTCGCTGTAGCTCGGATTTTGAGTGCTCATATTCCGTATTCGATTCGATAGGTTTTTTTTTCGGCAAGCGCTGTTACTACATTCACAAGGCGAAGACCATCTCCAAGAGAGGAATGCAAACCCATATTTTATACAATATGCACAACCAAGAGAAAAATAATAACCTCCAAGAGGAAAATGTATAATTAATAAATTAGCTAAATTGTAACTTTTGCTTCTCAAATTTGAGAAACCAAAACTATCATTTAGCAAATCTAGAAAATATTATAATAATGTTATATTGTACTTTATAACATATTAATTATCATTAAAAAATATTTTATATTATCTTACTTGCTTCTTATATTTTATAAATGTACTAAAGATAATTACTATTTTTATTTAGTATTTATAATAACTAAATATTAAAAAAAATTATTTATCATTTTAATTAACATAAAAAATATTTCATAACGAATTATAAAATTTTGATGATGTTTATTAATATATATCAATTAAGTTATTAAAATTTCTTTTATCAAATTTAAAATTAATTTTCTATACTTGTTAATTAGTATTATTTGTTATTGGTATATTAACTAAAATAAAAGTCAAATAATTTTGTAAAAAAAAAAAACATGAAATATTCAACATATAAATATACTGTTTAGAACAATACACATTTATATTAATATTTTATAATAAATGTGTAAAATATAAACAATGTTGTTGAAGTGTTAAAAGTGGAATACTAAAATACTGTTCATTGATTATATTATAGATATAGACAACCGATTTTAGACGAACTGTTGGAGATGGCCTTAGATGTATGTTTTGTCAAAATTTATATCTCTTATACAATAGACTGACAAAAGAATTGCATGCGACATGTGTAAATTCAACAAAACTTTGCTTACGAGAGAGAAAAGAGTTTAACTGGAGACCAAGATCATATAATGATATGATAGATAAGTTTACATCGTAAAACAAAAATATATTTTGAACAAAGAAAAATTAGAAATAAAGTGGGATTGGGGTTAAATCAGAAATAGGGTTAAGAACTGGGGCTAAATTAGATGGCATGCGCAAATCACGTGATTTTTTGTTTGAGGACTAAAATTGTTGTAAAAATAATATAGGGACTAAACTTAATTTCAGTACATAGTTTGAGCACAAAAACTGTAATTATCCCACAATTTGTATTACTATGAAGTATCAAAGACAATTTGTGGCATAATTACAGTTTTGGTCCCCCAAGTTTGCACTTTTTTATTTTTGGTCCTCCATTTACCGCCGTCAACAAAATACACATTAATGTTGTCACATTTTAACACATTTAGTCCCTCCGTTTGTTTGACCATTAAGTAGTAATGGTTAACGGCTGAATTTTGGGTTTTTCTTTGAGAAAATTGCAATAAGACCCCGGTATTCTTTCAAAATATTCTAAAAACCTCTAAAATGTTATCCAACCATAATTTAACCCCAATTTCATCATATAACCAATTTTAACCAATGACCCCAATTTTTCAACATTGGGTAATCCGACGTTGACTTTCTTTTTAACTCGGTTGACTCTTTTTTCGATTGATCTTTTTTTGCCGCTGTTGACTGATGTTGAATGTCGGGGTTAACAACGTTGACATTTTTCTCTTGATTTTTATTTTATTTTTATTTAAATTGTTGAGTAATGGGCAAATATAATTTAAATAAAAAATTCAAAGCTGATAATCGGCAAGAAAAAAATATCATAAAAAAAGTCAAAATAAGGAAAAAAAGAAAAAGTCAACGCATCTCAATAACGGAAATTTTTAAAGACAAAAACAAAAAAAGATTTAAATTAACGGCCGGTGCTAGCCCAAAATTAAAAGCGTTGTACTAGAGTGGTTATCTAATTCCAAATTACTCCGCACATGCCTAATTCATCTTGTTCATATTTTTGTGGGAAGAAATTTGGGATACACTGGCGGTTCCACGAAGAAAAAATTGAGGGGATCAAATTATGGTTTTTAGAATTTTTTTAAATTGTGCCCTAGAATTTTAGATAAAAACTTTATTAGAAGTTTGTAATTTTAATACTATGATACTAGATATGAATATAGTATTATTAGTGTGTTCTACGGTAATTGTGTTGATCAGGAAAAAAAAAGTCACAAGAAAAAGTTCATAAAAAATAAAAAAAGTCAACATTGTTAACTTAGAATACAATGTCGGTGAACGACGTCAAAATCAATATTAAATAAAAAAATCAATGCCGGAAAAAAATTAAAAAAACTAAAAAAAACAAAAAATAAAAAAACAACGTCGGTCATTGGTCCGCGGAAATGCTGGTAAAAATCGGGGTGGTTTGTCAAAATTGATTAAATGATGAAATTGAGGTTAAATTAGGGTTGAATAAAATTTTAGGTGTTTTTAGAATATTTTAAAAGAATGCAGGGGTCTGAGTGTAATTTTTATCTATGAAAAATCCCAAATTCAGCCATAATTCAACAGTTGACCGTTACTTCTTGACGGTCAAACAGACGGAGGGACCAAATATGTTAAAATGTGACAACATTAGTGTGTATTTTGTTGACGGCGGTAAATGGGGGACCAATAGTGAAAAACGTACAAACTTGAGGGACCAAAACTGTAATTATCCCGACAATTTGTATTAGTATTAATTATTTACAATTAACCATTCAAACAAAAAAAAAATAACTTTTATACCTAAATATCACAATTTATTAATGTCAACTTTAGATTATTAATACTCATCTTGTAACTAACATAAGTAGTTTGTATGCATGCATAAAACATGAGGACAACAAACTGTGGGCATGAAACTTCCCAAGTAGCTTTGAAGTCTCATACGAATGGTATATATATATATATATATATATATATATATATATATATACCAAACTCTAAATACATATTATTTGTTTCTTTTTAATTTAATTAGTAAAAATTAGACATTAATTAATTCCGAATTTTTGGCCAAGGAGCTAGGATTAGTCGAATAAGCAGATAAAACTAACGAGATGTCAAATGTGAGACAACGTAACATATATATATCAAAATAATTAAATTACTAGACAAAATATGAATTAAAAAAAATTCTAAGAGGAGGTCGTTAATGCTATTTTACATGAAAATAAATAAATTATATTTCTATATAAAATTAAAGGATTTGAGAAATGTTTTTGGGGGGGGGGGGAATGGGTGGGTGTGGTGGCACGGCCCCCCCTAGCCCTATGGTGGTTCTGCCCGATGAGAGACAACGTAAGATATATATATTAAACATTAAACAATTAGTTGCAGGTTGTGTGGTGTTAATTGATTGAAGACTTGAAACTCCATCGATTCAACTCAAATTTTGACCTGGCCGAGTTCACTTAGGAGTCGGGATGGGCATTTTTTAATTTTACAGCGTTGACCTAACGGTGTCAAGGTCAAACCTATGAAAACTAACGTCAAAGACCACATTGGAAAAAACTTCACGTGGAGGGGGACAAATCGATGCAATTAGAAGTAGAAGGGGTAAAATGATTTCGACCTAGAGTACAATGGGGGAAAGTGGATTTTTCCCTTAAATTAATAGACAAAATATGAAAAATAGCTCATGTAGTTTGTGTGATATACAATGTGGGTAAAATTTGACTATAAATTTGGTTGATCTCACATTGACAATTATTCAACAGAAAAGATGGCGACTACTTCACCTAAAATAGTTCTCCTTGCTCTCATTTTGATCACCTTATCAGGTAAAATTCTAAATGAATTCTACATTTATATTCCCCAAGCCATGTTCTCAATAAATTGGAAATCTAATAAGTTAGCTCAACAAAATCTCGAGCGCTCAACTTTTCTGATAGTTTATTAATTAATTTCAAAATTATTATAATCTGCAGTTATACCTTGTTCCTCAAAAATGTTTGGAGCGGAAGACATGGAATTGCAACCAACAGGAACTACTAGAGCTGTCCTTGCCATGTGTCATTCGTCTTGTAAGACGGATCAAGACTGCGTTGATGCTAATTGTGGTAGCAAATGTTTCACCTTGAAGCGCCCTCTTAAAATGAGTAGTTGTCTTAGTTTTTAATGCCATATTTCTTCAAATTATATTCAATAAAAATGAAATGTGGAGTGTTCACAATAATAATATATAGCCAATAATAATAACTTAATGTTATGGTTGTATAATCATTGCAAGATAAAATCAAATAAATTCACCTTTATTTTCATTTACTTGCGTTTTGATGCATTTTTCTACCTATAAATAAGTAGTTTTACACAAATATGGGCTCCTAAAAATATATTTCTTGCTACTGGGCTCAAACTTCTAGTTTATCGTGACCAGAAAGCAAAAGAAAAAAAGGCAAAAAGTTGGGAAAGTGGTGTTAAAACAAATTGGAGAAATAACTGATGTGATTTGAAGATTTTACCAATTTGTTGAATGGAAATTGATGATCAGGAAAAAAGAAAAAAGAAAACGCAAACTCTATATTTTACCATTTTGATCAAAGCTAATTATTTGATTTTTCCTTTAACTGAATTACACTTTCAATTTATTTATTTCATGTTGTTATTTATTTATTTATTTATTTATTTTATTTATTTAAGGGTAAATTACAAACACCCCCCTGAGGTATGATCAAATTACAAAAACACCCCTCTTGTTTGGATAATTACAACCACCCCCTCAACTCATCAAATTTAGTGGAATCTTCGAGATTATATGGAATATTATCACTTTTGTACCCGTTTTATCCCATTCAAACTCTACATTATGAAGCAAGATGACCATAATATGTGATTTTTAGCTTGTATATATCAGTTGGTGGTGCATCGGAAACTGTATTTTTTACACAAAGAGTACAAACTAGAGCACATTTCACGGAATCTAGATGACTATGTTGAATTTGGCACCATAAAGGTACGAAAAAATCATAGTTGAGGGGGGTAGATGTAATTATCCAAACAAGAGGGGGTTTTTTGTAATTTGACCATACCTCAGGGGGGTTTTTGTAATTTACCCTTCTTTTTTTTATAATTTTATTTAAAGGGCCTGCTTGTTAGTTTCTTAATAAGTTTATCTACAACACAATTTTCAATACCTTACCGTAGAAACATATTCAAGGATAAATAAAAGAAGGAAGAAAGACTGTATATTGAAATAATGCTTCCAATGTGAGAACATCTCTCTAACTAATATATCTCCAATAATTTGAAAGAACACGCTAAAGAAATAATATAATCTGGAGAAAGCCTCGCCCAACTTTCGTATTATCGCATCGCCATTCGGGGAAAAACCAGAGTCTCAACATACATACTTGCCAACTCATAAATTTTGGAACTTGGATTTCTTTTCTGCCACAGTATATATCAATAGTTGATAGTAATTTCGAGCACAAGCGAAAATCAGACGATCCTTATTATTCGTAACTCCAACTAATATTAATTTACTAGATGACGAAATATGATGGGATCTTAACGATATAATCGTCAATTTAGCCCATGACTCTTTCACTCCATATTCCTTCATCATCCAAACCACAAAAATTGCGGAAACGCCGATTATAGGATGATGTTGGGCTAACTATCTAACACGCAAGTGTACGTATCGCAAACAAGTAGTAATATTGGACTCGTAAGAGTTGGATGTCGATCTCACGGGGATTACTAAAATTACCTAATCCTAAGTACCCAATTCTAACAATTATGATTTTTATCCAGCCTACGCAAGGTTGTCAAATTTAATCGACTAAATAATTAAACTAATTATGAAAGCAGATAATCACGAGAAAAATATAATAAAAAAAAAGGGACCTAAGATTTTATCTTCCCCATATGAGATAATTCATCACCAAATTAAACTTGTATCATGCAAGTTACGATTCCTGATTATTAACCCGATACACTAAATTACTCATAACTGTCGCGTGTATTATAAGTCTATTATTGATAAACAGTTCACTGTATGTCTATGCAAACCAATTATGAATAAAACATTAACCAACAAGTCTTGTAAACGCCTACCAAAGGTGATATTTGTATGTCTACGATAACACATGCAATTAACACACTAATCCGGTGCAAACTACTCGAAGGCTCTTGTATCCTTGTTCTAATTATTAAACTGATCTGTCGATTCAATTCTAAAAATCACACATAGCAACATAAATTAGGTAGGTTCATGCACTAAATAAGATCAAATAGAAGAAATAATCATGGAATTTAAACTTGCATAATATTAGAAAAATAGGTTCGAATTACCACATAGGGTTCTAATAAAATCCTAGAACAAAAGTTTAGATACTCATGTTCTCTACGAAAAACACATAAAAATACAAAAATACATAAAAGTAGAAAAAAAAAGTAAAAGATGAACTATGATGAAGATTCGTCAAGTCTCCGTCTTCGATTCTCCGTTCTCTCACTTCTCTTGCTTTAAGATTGTGTTAAAGTTCCCGTAAATCTTGCTTGTCTTTCCCTATTTTATGTTATTTTAATTTTATATTTCATTGCAATTTGGCCTTTATTTTCTTTTGGATTTAATTTGGCCTCTATTTTATGTTATTTTAATTTTATATCTTTTTTTATTGAATGATATATTTGAACTTTCACCTTCACTCAACTCGTAAAATCAGAATGAGTCGAGTGTATCATTTTTGAAAAATTTCACAGGTTTTTTATTTATTAACTTATTTATAACATGAGATTTTTCACTAATTCGACATTACACATATGTACTTTTTGCAGTTTACTCAGTATTCATATGTTTGTACATTCGATGGCTAATATAAAATTAGAAAAACTAGTTCATCATCATATACGAATAAATTTTAGCACATTCCCTAACATCATCAATAGGTAGGTAAATATTCAAGATCTAGCTAGGTGTGTGTAATATTTTTTTCTAGTCACACATTCATCTAAAGAGATAGTGGCCATATTAGCAATCTACTAAAATTACTAAATCCCCTAATTGATAGAGTTACAAGAGAAATGAATTACGATTCTTTTAGTTCACTTAATTGTATTTTTAATTTATTGCACTAATCGAACATATATATAGTAATGGTTGAGTTTTTGATGGAGGTGCATTAGTTATCATGTCATTGTTATTATATAAATTTTAGCTACACGTACAAACTCTTTCTAAATGAATCGGTTGATTATTTATTTGGCACATATCTTAAAATAGTGTCAAGATTAATTAGTTCCAACTACAAAATCATCATGCTAGCTATAAAAATCAAGCAAGAGTATCATATATTTAAGTTGTATATAACATTGATAAGAGATTAATATATTTCCCACTTTTCATAAATGGAGAGTAAAGAAGAACCAAATCCCTCTTTTGCAGAAATCAATAACTTTCCAAAAGATCACGAGTTCAACGAGTTGCTCCAAACACTCGAACAAAAAACCAGTTGGGATGGCGTTCAGTTCGTTAAATACCAAGGCTTTTGGTGCCCGTTGTTTTTATTCCGACCAATAATGTCGGCTCAAAAGCACTTCAAAGCAAAAGATTCCGATATAATATTGGCAACCTTACCTAAATCAGGAACCACCTGGCTGAAAGCTCTCATTTTTTCCATAATCAATCGCAATATTTATCCTAATCACGGTTAAAATACTTAAACTATGTAAAATAATATAGTTATGGTTATTCAAAATTTTGAACTATTTCTATATTTTAAAGGGTTAATAGCATTTTGCCAGGACTTTGCCCGCTTTTCCCTTTGCTACCTTAACTAAAAAAATTGTAAGCGGGCACCCAAACTCAGTGGTTTGACGCACATAACCACCTAAGGGGAATATTCCGGCGAATCTTCTCATTTTCCAACGAACACACGGTACACATGCTTAATGAAAGGTTTTTTTTACTTGATTTATTCATAATACAATTATTATTTTTAAATAAAAACTAGGTGTCATTTATTACAAATTATATAAATATATTAAATTTAATTTACTGCTAACACTATTAAGGATAAAATTGATTGACCATTAAATGAGGGGTAAGTGTATTTTTTATAATACGAGGGGGTAAATGCAACATAGAACATAGTACAAGGAGATAAAGTGTATTTTACCCCTTTTTTTTAACATGCAGAGTAATAGGGGCAGTGGTGGAGGTAGCTATTCGAGGAAGGGGTTTGCTATTATCAGTGCGGTTTTTACCACTTGCAGTGCAAAATAATTCTTTTTTTTTCTTTTCCAAATCTTATCCAAACCCCTCTCAAACACTCTCAACCTTTAATTCTTGAAAATTTTTTAATTCAGTAATTTTTCGACCAATATCAGTTAGAGCACAAGTATTATCGACATGGATGACAACGACTTCGATTTTGAAGTGAAAATACATGTTTTTTGTTCATTTCCAACGTTTTTAGACATTTCGTGTTATAACACACGAAATATATGCTTCCATTTCGTGTAATACTATACGAAATGTGTCTTAAAATCGTTTGTTGTTTGTTTCGTAGAAAAACAAACGAAATGAAAGCTTACATTTCGTAGTAAAACCTACGAAATAGAAGCTCTTATTTCGTATGTTTTTACACAAAATTGTAGCTTACATTCTGTATGTTTTTCTACGAAATCCCTTAAATATTGTCAATTTTAAATATTTATGCAGGAACTAAGAGAACAATCTCACGATCACAATCACTTCTTTGAATGTGGTATTGTGTGTGATAGGAGAGAAGCGTTAATTACGTGGACAAAAGACACAACAATTAGTCATAATCATCGACTGATTAATCATTGTAAATCAGAAAAATATCATGTTTTAACGTGTGCAAGATATCAATCTGGACGACACGTACTATTGAAGAAACGTTCTTGTCCGTTCAGGTTAATTGGCAAAAAATCAACGGAGGATGGATTATGGCGATTGAGTGTGAGTAATGGTAATCATAACCATCTGCCGTGTATTTGAAAGTTTAACTTATGTTTAAATTTGTATTTGTTTTAATTTTGCATTTTAATGTTTAATTTATGTTTTGGAATATTTAAATTTGTAGCGTTGTGTTTTGCATTTTTTATGTTTAACCTATGTTTTTGGAATGATTAAATTTGTAAGGTTGTTTGTAAGGTTGTTGTAGAATGTTTAAATGTGTACTTTAATTGCTTCAGTTGTACGTAGTTTCTAAATTCAAATCATAAAACTAGTGAATTAAAATACAAAACAACAACCTAATAAATTAAATAGTTCGTAATAATAATAAACAAAATTAGTAAAATAATTAATTCCTAATAATAATAAAAATAAATTATTAAATTAAATAGTTCCTAACAATAATAAAAATGCATAGTCCTAGTAATAATAAAAATAAACTTTAAAATTAAATAGTTCATAAAAATACATAACTAGCAAAACAAATCGATAAACTACCGCCTCGCTCTCTTCGGCGGTTGCACCTCATGATCGTCGTCGTCGTTGTTGTCGTTGTCCTGGTCGATGCCAATATATCGGGCGGCGGGCTGCATAATATCTCCAAGGTCGGCACGTAGATCGGCAAACTGCTGCATCCAGTCCTGTCCAGTGCTCCTGGTGATCGGGTACAATGCACGTACTATCTGGTAATAAGCCAGCTGATCTGGTGGCCTCACATTCTCTCGATGCAGTGGAGTCGGGCCTACGTCGGAGTTGTTGATCTTCAGATGAGTCCGATCGGTGTACCACTCCATGTAGTGCTCGTCGACTTCCCCCAGTTGTCGTGTCGTCTTGTATACATTGGCACAAATGGAATGAGTCTGAACCATGTCCCACATACCACCGAAAATTGGTAGTTGACTTGGTACGATGTACCTCCTTTGGGACAGCGTGAACATGGCTCCATCGATGAAATCAAGCCGCGCGGAATATCCTGAACCCACCCGAACTATCGGACGCAATGATCAGGCATATACGGCTCTACGACCCAGATGTACTGGATCGTGCCATGATACAACGTACGAGGGATACTCTCGTGTATATCCCGACCATACGGTAGCCACTCAACCTAAACAGAAAACAATATAAATACATAAATCAAAAAAATCATATTTAAACAAACTATAAACATAAACCGAAAAATTCATATTTAAACAAGCTACAATTACATAAAATCGAAAAATTTCATATTTAAAAAAAAATATAAACACATAAATCGAAAAATTCATATTTAAAAAAAAATATAAATACATAAATATAAAAAACTTACATCATCCGTTGTCATATTGTCGAGTAAACCTCGAATATGCTCGAGCGTGCCCGCTTTTGGCGGCGCGTTCCACCTCTTGCATCGAGGCTGAAACTCGCGTTACCGGTCGCTCTCATCTGGCGGCTGGAATCTTGGGAAATACTCGTATATCCAGCACTGCAATATTTTATTTAAAGATATTTAGGGAAATAAACAATAGAGAATATATCAATTTAAAAACATTATGAACAAAATAAGTACAAAATATATTAAAATTTACCTGAAGAAGGGTGGTGCAACCCGCCAAGCTCCTCGACTGTGCTCGAATGCATATACCCAGCTCCCTATATAGATTGGCCAAACAGGCCGAACCCCACGAATACGTGCCGACCTGATGAAGCACTGAATCCTCGAGCACGTGCATATACCACGGCTTCACCCGATCACATGTCTTGTCGGGGAATAAAATCGATCCGAGGAGAAACACCAGATATATCTGAACTCGGCGTCTCATGGGCGTGTCGGGCATCAACAACTGTCCCTGTATCATCCTCCATGTGGGCCCCCCATGCTTCCATGACTCGTCAATCTCCTCAAAATTGAAGTTTAATACCTCAGACAGCAAATACACGCGGTTTGTGCGCTCGATGACCTCGTCGTACCTAGGCGCGACCACCCGTCCCTCCACATTGGCACCTAGAATCATCTGGACATCGTGGAGAGTGATAGTCATCTCTCCCACGACTTATGGAAGTTGTTCGTCTCCGGCTGCCACCGCTCCACGAATGCAAACAACAAACAACAGCGGACCATCTATGCGCGGTAAATAACATCGGGTTAGGGGATACAAACCGGTCATCCGCAGAAAATGCTTGTCTGCGGATAGATCTTATGTCTTTTAGGGGAGCTGCTATCTTCTCGTAGTTGAAATGGTTCAGGGAGTTGATACGGGACTCCACTCGTCCAACCGGACGTTCCTGCAACCATTTATTCAGAAAACATATTAATTAATCAACTATACAAATATTTTAATATAAGATACAAAAATTATAATATTAAAATTAAAACAAGTAATTAACTTCCTTCTCCCCTCCAAATATATGCCGTTACGTGCGACTTGAAACTTGGAATCAAAGACGGATCCCGCGGGCCACCGGGAAACGCACCATCTAGCACATCCGGATTGACTCGAGTATGACTTCGACCACCACGACCTCCACGGCCCCGTGCTCGGCCTCCACGAGCTACAACCTCAGTCTCGTGATGGGGTCCACAGTATCCTCATGCTCCTCCTCCATAGCACGAGAAGACCCAACATCGGGATGTGCAACCGATGATCTGGCTTCACCAGCTCTCTCAGCCTCTAGCCTACGTCGTGTAACCATAGTCATGCGTTCGCGCTCGCGCTCTTGATGCTCAGCTTCTTCGCGAACTGCTCGCATATTTGCCTTTGCCTGCCATCTGTTAAATAAGACACTATTAATGTCAGTCTAAATAATAATAATAAATAAAACAAATCTTAAAAAAAAACTGAAATTTTGCAGTAATTTCGTGGAAAAATACACGAAATTAATGCTTACATTTCGTGTTTTTGTTCACGAAATACAAGCATAAATTTCGTGTATTTTTCCACGAAATTACTGCAAAATGCCCGAAACACACAGTTTTCGTGCATAGTACCTACGAAAGAAAAGCTTACATTTCGTGCGATTTCTCACGAACTTAAAGCTTTAGTTTCGTAAGATTTTGCACGAAACGTAAGAGAAACAAAGAATATTGCTAATTTCGTGGAAAAAATCGCGAAATTAGCCTTTTAATTTCGTGATTTTTTTTCACGAAACGCAATTTTTTTCCGAAAAGTTTCGAAGTGCTTCGAAATACTGAAAACGTATAGATTTTCGACGAAATTTGTCAATATACTACTAAAAAACATTGGATTAACGATTTCGAGTTCGAATTTTACCTTAAATCGTTGTTGAATTGCTCGTTTAATCCGCAGGAATTCGAAGGGCCTAAGATAGGGTTTGAGAGGATTTTGAATTTTTTGAAGAAAAGTTACAAATGAATATAAAGTGCACTGCATGGCGGTAAAAGATGCACTATGAATAGCATTTCACTTATTATTATTATTATTATTATTATTATTATTATTATTATTATTATTATTATTATTATTATTATTATTATTATTATTATTATTATTATTATTATTATTATTATTATTATTATTATTATTATTATTATTATTATTATTATTATTATTATTATTATTATTATTATTATTATTATTATTATTATTATTATTATTATTATTATTATTATTATTATTATTATTATTATTATTATTATTATTATTATTATTATTATTATTATTATTATTATTATTATTATTATTATTATTATTATTATTATTATTATTATTATTATTATTATTATTATTATTATTATTATTATTATTATTTATATTACTACTACTACTACTACTACTACTACTACTACTACTACTACTACTACTACTACTACTACTACTACTACTACTACTACTACTACTACTACTATCATTTCTACCTCGTGCGATGCAAGAGAAATTATTTGTAGAGTAAAAAAAGAATATCAATTTAATACATAATAAGAAAATATAGTACACGAACATACTATATTATAATAATGTAGTATTATTCATATTTTATATAACATTAGTTCTTTTAAAAATTACATATTAAGATTTATAATCCAAATATATAGATTTAGATTTAACAAATCGAATTTCTATCTTTATCTCTTAAGATTTGAGATATATTGATGAAAAATAGGAGATTGATAATTGGTGAAAATTAGTAGAGAAAAATATTAAAAGTAAATAATTAAAGAAATACCATTAGGGATTTTTATGGTGGCCCAGCATTTATTTCTTTTATATATAAGAGTATTAATGAGATAGAAGAAAAATTGGAGGAGAGAGAAATAGGTTAGTAGGTATTATAGTAGGTTTGAAAAGTAGAAAAATTGGAGAGAGAAATAGGTTAGTAGGTATTATAGTAGGTTTGAAAAGTAGAAAAATTGGAGGAGAGAGAAATAGCTTAGTAGGTATTATAGTAGGTTTGAAAAGTGGGAAAAGTATGAATAGTGTATTTCTATTGGAAAAATTGTTAAGAAAATTAGGAATTTCCAAGTGAAAATTGGTAAACAAACATAGTCTCGATTTTATGTATAGTATAAAACTGGAAAGGGAGTTTGAAAACATAAACAAACGTCCCCGAAGCATTTCGTCTAGAATGACGGAAGTTGGCTTACCGATTAGCGTCGAGATGTTCAAGACGTTGTTTACGCTACATCGTGCGAGTAATTTACCCTTCTTCTGCACACGTCCTCGGATTTCTTACAAATTTTTGAAGGCGATTAAATTGAGTTGGGGAAAATGGAGTACTTTATTTTTCTATGTGAGGGCTCCGATGTTCGATGTTCCCCTTGTTTGGAATCCAATATGCGAAACTTTCAAGATAATGAAGAATATGAGGAAGCGGATTAGGGAGTCGAGGTTATTTGATTTAGAGTTTGACCCGAGTTATATGTTTCCGAAGGGTCAGAAGCCTATATCCTTTCGTGTAGTCTACTTGATTTATTTAAGCATATGTGCCTTATTTTTTCTTGTCTCTATTATTCTTTTTACCCACCTGTTGGTAATGGTTTTTTTTTTGTTTTAGATGGATGTATCGATTTTGCGGCCGTTCGGGCTAAGGCTACTAGAGGTGCGAAAAAGCAAGCGAGGAAGGACCCATTGAAGCAAGCGAAGTCAAGTAGTGATAAATCGCGTGAAGTGACCCGCGTGGAGACCCCTCATGTGAGTGGAGATGATCGTAATCATAATGTTGAGGGGGAGGGGCCGGATCTTGTGGTTAATAATGGAAAGGATAAGGTGGTGGAGATCGAGTACGTTCCTGTATCGATACGGCCCCGAGTGGATCCTGAGGTCTCTCATATGTCTCAAGGGGGGCAAGGAAGTGCCTGTTATCTTATGGGGTGAAACGAGAGGGGAAGGATTCCTTCTGGGATACGACCAATCATACAATTGCGATGAAGAACACCGAGGGTTTCGTTGGAGAGTACGACCGAAGTCGGATATCGAGTAAAGGTCGTGCTCATATGCTTTCATTGGCCGGAGGAGACATGTGTCGGGTAAATATTTGTTCTAAGTTAATATTTTTTTCTATTTAAACCATATCCCTCGATAATCTAATGTTTTATTGTCGATATTTTGAGATAGCTCATAGCTATATGGAGGTATCTCCTGGAGCACGAGGAGCAAGTCGAAAAGAAGTAAAAAAGAGGAGCGTGCTGGCTGGGAGGCGAGAGAGAATGACCAAAAGGCTCAATTAGAGGCAACGGAATCCAAGCTCGAGGTGGCACAGGCTCTGCTCATTCAGAGGAACACGAGCTGGAGATTGTATGAGCGAGACTGAGGCAAGTAGAGTTGAATTAACAAAGCTAGATCGGTACTATGACGAGCTGGAGGAGAAATATGATACCGAGAAGTTTACGGGGAAGAGGTTTCTTTCTTCATCAGCTGGAGCCGCCTACAAGGAGTTGGTAATGTTAGAAGGTGAGCGTCGCTTTCAGAAGAGTGATATCTGTCGAGCAATGATCGAGGAACGAGCGATAGCTGGGGTTTATGCTCCGTTGGTTAGGACGTGTCGTCATTACTTACGCAAGGTTAGTGGGATTGACGAGAATATTATTCGATGTATGGAGAAGGATATTCCCGATGAGGGAGAGGATATCGATGCCGCGGGTACTGAGATAGCATCGGATGAGGAGGCAGATGACCAAACTACCGAAACTACTTCGGCTCGTGATGAGGATATCTAGAGTGGTAAAGTGTAGTTTGTAGTCTGGTATGATGTTTCCCTCACTCTCCTTAAGAAGAGGACTTAGTTTTATTTTATTTTTTATTTTTTAGTAGTAAGTGGGTATATCCACTAGTAGTTTCGCATGCTTCATTATTTTATATTCGTTGACACGTTGACTTTACTATCGAAGTTATTTTTCCTTCTTATTTACTGATGTTGTCGTGGTGTGACGCGTTGCATTAATGTTTTACATTTAGCATTGTGCGTGATGTACTTGATGAGGGGATCAGTCTCTCAAGATTTTTTTTTCTCGTTAGGGATCATGCCCTTTTTATTTTGGACCTCGTGCATCGTATATATTGTTTGGACCGTGGTCATGTTTTAAGTAGGGGACCTATTAAAAGCGAAATAGAGCAATTTGGATGATCAAGCTTGCCAGGCTATATAGATCATCGTAATATCTGTATTTGGTATAAGGGTTGTAAAGATATTCACTTGATGTGATACTCAGTATTAAGTTAATGATAATATGGGGAATGAAGAAAATGACTTGCTTGAATTATATAATCGGAATGTGAACGTTACAAGCCTATCGGAGGCAAAGGGAGAGAAATATATAAAAAGCTAATCATTCGATATGATTAAAATTGGTCTAAATAGAAATGATAATAATTTGTTTGAAGTACAACCGATAAATTCTTCTTCTTCCACGTCTTTCTTGTGCTTGTCCATGCTTGCTATGTTGATGATGTATGGGTACACTTGATGTCTTTTATGCCTGTGACATATGATAGAAAACTTTTAAGTGTTTGATGTGGATACTTAGTAGATTTGTCTATTGATATAACGTAGGGAGGGGGTTTGTGTACCCGAGATGGGTTTGAGTAATTCTCTCGTACACCGACATGTGTAGTCAATGTTTGATTCAGTATACTTGAATGTTTTCGCATGCCTATCAAATTAGACGATGTTGATAAATGAGGAGATATGCTAAGTATGTGTTGAGACTATATTAAATGGCGAATGTAGGTTTACCCTTCGTGAGGAGATGTGGAGTCTCTTTCATCTTCTAGTAGCTGATTCGGGCGATATCTAACATCATAGTTGATCCGTAATCTATAAGAAGAAGACGTAAGATGATTAAGGGAGGTTGAGGTGGGTAACGAAATAGCGGCCCAGTTAGGGTGAGGCGTTCACCTACCTCTTCATGGATTGGGAAGATCCTGTATGTTGTTGACAGGGAAAATTACATTTTTCGTCCTTATACTTTATCCACTTTTTCAAAATTGTCCCTAAATATTTTAACAATAGTAGTCCTTAATCATGCCATTTTTTGACAGAATTGGTCCGCCGTTTATTTTTGCAGTTAAGTTGGATAGAAAATGGCATGTGCCTCTCACATGCCTTCAATATACAACACTACATGAAAATGGACTTTTAACAAAACCCATTGCGTCTTGTTAAAACATATTTTTCATAATTAAAACTTGATTGAAATTCGAAATTATATAAATTTCAAAAAAAAAAACAAAATCGATATATTGTTCTAAAATATTTTGAGAAATATTCTTTAAACAATTGACACAATTGTCTAAAAAAATTAAATATTATTTCAAAATCAAGATTTTAGGAATTCGAATGAAAACATTGTTTCAAAATAAAATAAAAATTCGATCCGAATAGGCGGCATAAGAAACCTCCATTTCAATCTTCACCCTAATTTAATAATGTAAAACTCGATAAATTGTTTCAAAATATTTTTAGAAGTGTTGTCTAATATAATAATATAATGTCTTAAAATTAATCGGAATTTCTTGAATCCAAATGAAATTTATTTTAAATAAAATAAAAACCTGATAGTAATAGGCGGAGTAAGAAAACTCCGTTCCACATTTCACCCTTATTTAATAATCTAAAACTCGATATTTTTTTTTTCAAAGTAAATTCATAAATATTCTTTAAAAAATCATAATATTGTTGTCTAAAAAAATAATATTGTGTTTTAAAATCGGCATTTTTGGAAATTGAATGAATATTATTTTAAAATAAAATACAAATTTGATCAAACTAGGCGGCATAAGAAAACGCCTTTCCAATTTTCACCCGTATTGAATGATTCAAAACTCGACATATCGTCTCACAATTGGGATTTTTGGAATTGATTAGAGGTGAAAATTGGAATGGAGATTTCTAATTCCTCAATTCCTATCGGGCTTTTTATTTTGGTTTGAAACGATATTATTTAATTGAATTCCAAAAATGCCGATTTTGATTGTTTAAACAATATTTCCGAAACGAGTGATTTTTTGGAATTTACGTGATCACGATTTTATATTAAATTTTAATTATAAATAATAATTATAAAAAAAATATGTTTAAACAATGCAATGCGTGTTGTTGAAAGTCAATTTTCATGTAGTGTTGTAAATTGAAGGCATGTGAGAGGCACATGCCATTTTCCATCCAACTTAACTGTAAAAATTAACGACGGACCAATTCTGTCAAAAAATGGCATGATTAAGGACTACTATTGAACTCCAAAATGTTTAGGGACAGTTTTGAAAAAGTGGGTAAAGTATGAGGACGAAAAATGTAATTTTCCCTTGTTGACATATTTGCAAGCCAATTGACGTAGAAGATCTCAAAGCCTGCAAGGGTGGTTATTTATAAGAAACTGTTGTAATATGGGAGATTGCATACTGACTTATGATTATTCGATATAAACTTCGAATATACCTTAATGGTAGAACCTTTTGAGGTTCCTTACATTCCAGGTTTTGGCTATAGGGTGTCCGTCGAGGTTCTCGAGACAATATGCTCCCATGTTGACCACTTGTGTTACTTTGTAGGGTCTTTCCCACTTCGGGTCGAGTTTACCTATTGGGCGTGAGGCTTCGGCTTTGCGGAGAACTAAATCTCCTATTTGGAAAGAACGGAGGCGGACTTTGGAGTTATAAGCCTTCGCCATGCGATTCTTGTACATTTGCTATCGGATAGATGTGATCTCTCTTAGTTCATCAACAAGATTGATTCTAGCTCTCATTGCTTCTTCATTAGCCTTTGGAGAATAGTTGGTGACTCTCCAAGAGGGTTCGCCAATCTCGATGGGTGCCACAACCTCTATTTCAAAAGCCAGTTTAAACGAAGATTCCTCTGATGTTGTTCGATATGCCCATAGAGCACTGGGTAATTCTTCAACACACTTTCCTTTGGCACTTCCAAGCCTTGTCTTGAGATGTTGGAGTATAGTACGATTAGTTACTTCAGTCTGACCATTTGCTTGGGAGTTGGTTACTGAGGTAATCAATTACTTAATAGATAAGCCAATGCACCAAATTTTTACTTTGTCTCCACATAATGGGGTTCCATTGTCTGAAACAATGGAACGTGGGATCCCAAAGCGGCACATGATGTTCTTCTAGAGGAATTGGATGACCTCTACCTCTCGAATGCGAGCTAAAGGTTCGGCTTCCACCCACTTGGTGAAGTAATCTACAACTACAATGAGGAACTTGCGTTCTCCTGTTGCTGGTGGAAAATGGCCGACCAAGTCCACTCCCCATTGAGCGAAAGGTATGGGACTATCAATCGGTTGCATTAGTGATGCTGGGAGATGAAGGATGTTGGCGTGTTCTTGGCAAGGCTTGCATCTTTGCACTAGTCGCCTTGTCTCAATACTTTGAGAGCTAAGGTTCTTCCACTCAAATGATTTCCATAGATGCCTTCATGTACTTCTCGTAGCACATAGTCTGCTGCAGATGGGTTAAGGCATTTGAGATAGGGGAAGGAGAACCCTCGCTTGTAGAGTTCTTCACCTACCATTAAGAAACAAGCCGCTCTTATCTTTATTTTCTTCGCTTGGACAAGGTCAGTCGGAAGTTCTCGGCTTTTGAGATAGTTTGCAATGGGGGTGATCCAACAGGGTTCGTTCTCTTCAGCGCAATTCACTCCGTCGCTAGAGACTATTTCTGGTTGGTAAGCCATAAGGAGGGTGATTTTCCGACTTCCAATGCTTGCAATAGAACTACCAAGTCTAGCCAATTTGTCTGCATCAATATTATTGGCTTGTGGTACTTGCTTTACCTCATAGCTATCAATTTTTTAGAGGAGGGTAAGTGCAAGAGCAAGATACTTGGCCATAGATTATTCTTTGGCCTCATAGGTCCCAATGACTTGGTTGACCACTAATTCGGAGTCGCTATGTACTATGATTTTGCGAGCTCCAGCTGCTAAAGCGAGGCGGATCCCAGCGATCAAAGCTTCATATTGGGCTTCGTTGTTGGAGGCTTTAAAATCAAATCGTTTAGCGTATTCGAACTCATCACCATCTGGGCTTGTAAGTACAATACCCGCGCCTAGTCCTGTAGCAGTCACCTCCGTTGCAGTCACATCTACTAAAAAGTCTGCCATAATTTGAGCTTTGATGGCGGAGCGTGGTTTCAATTCGACCCCATATTCGCTCAGCTCTATAGCCCATTTAGCTAGTCATCCGGAAGTTTCGGGACTTCAAAAATTTGTTTAAGAGGATAGTTGGTGAGAACTATCACTTGATGCGATTGAAAGTAAGGACGTAACTTTATGGATGTATTCATGAGGGCGAGAGCAATTTTCTCCATGTTGGTATAGCGATGCTGTGAGCCTTGAAGAACTCGACTTATGTAATATATCGGTTGGTGACCTTTTTCACCGTCCCGAAAGAGCACTGGCTAATGACCTCAGCAGAAATAGCCAAATATATGAAGAGGGTATCTCCTAGCTGGGGCTTCGTTAGTAGAGGTGGGGAAGTAAGATATGTTTTCAATTCGGCGAAAGCCCTTTGGCAATCCTCATTCCATAAAATTTTCCCACCCTTTAACACTTTGAAGAAATGAAGGCCTTTATCAGCTGATCGGGATATAAAGCGGTTTAAGGCTGCCAAACAACCGTTAAGTTGTTGGCCCTTCTTGATCGAGGTGGGAGGGGCCATGGAGGTGATAGCTTTAATCTTCGTCGGGTTAGCTTCGATTCGTCGTTGTGATATCATTATCCCTAAGAATTTTCCTCCTCGAACTCCGAAAGAGCATTTTAGGGGATTGAACTTCATCTTGTACTTACGTAAGATGGAGAAGCATTGGTTTAAATCAGTTACGTCATCCGAGACCTTGATCCTCTTGACGAGCATATCATCAATGTATACTTTCATATTCTTACCAATCAAGTCTGCGAACATCGTGTTCACCAGACGTTGGTAAATAGCTACTGCATTCTTGAGACCGAACGGCATGACTTGATAGCATTGGTAAGTAGCTTCTTACTGAACGTCATGACTTGAGAAGCATTGGTTTAAATCAGTTAGGTGACCCGAGACCTTGATACTCTTGACGAGCATATCGTCGATGTATACTTCCATATTCTTACCAATCAAGTCTGCAAACGGCATGACTTTATTCACCAGACGTTGGTAAGTAGCTCTTGCATTCTTGAGACCGAACGGCATGACTTTATAACAGTAGATACCTTGGTCTGTGATGAAGCTATCTCTCTCTTGATCCTCTGGGGCGAGCAATATTTGATTGTATCTTTGATATGCATCAAGAAAGCTGAGAAGTTCGCACCCTGAGGTCGAGTCTATGAGCTGGTTGATCCTTCGTAGAGGAAAATGATCTTTGGGGCATGCCTTGTTGCGGTCGGTGAAGTCTACCAACAGCCTCCACTTGCCTTCGGGTTTGGGAACTAGTACCACATTGGACAACCAATCAGGAAATTGAACTGGTCTGATGTGGCCTGCATCTAAGAGTTTTGCAACTTCCGCTTTGATATGCTTGTTGCGTTCAGGACCAAAGGTCCGCTTACGTTGTTTGTCTGGCTTCAATCATTTGTTGACGTTGAGTCGATGCAATGCCACTTTGGGGAGGATTCCCGTCAAATCTTGAGCCTTCCAAGCAAACACATCCCCATTGTGTCTAAGTAAGTCAACTAGCTATTTCTCCACTTCTTGATCTAGATCAGATCCGATGCGGAGGAGCTTAGAATTATCCCCGGGTATGAGTTCTATTAACTTTAGCTCTTCAACAGCTGCTAGCTTGGTGCTGTCATTAGGTACGCTGATTAAGATTTCTTTATCAGCTTCGATGACAGCGTTGACCCATTTTCGCTTATTGTGTTTCGGGGTGTCGTCTCCCCTCCCTAAAGGATTAGATTTCCTAGATGGCTCACGTAGAGCTCTTGCATAGCATTCTCAAGCGAGACGTTTATCTCCAAGTACCTATTCCATTCCATAAGGAGTGGGGAATTTCAATTTGGTGGTATGATGAAGGCACCAACTTGAATGTATGGATCTCTGGCCTCCCTAGGATGATGTTATATGGAGATGGTTTGTCGACGATAAGGAATTTTACCATCTTTGGAATTCGACAAGGGTTGTCCCCTAAGGAAATGGGCAACTCCACTTCTCCCATGGATAAACACCCTCTCCCGTGAATCCTTTTAGTGGTGTAGTGATAGGGCTAAATCAGGTGTTATCTATGCCCAGTTGCTTAAATGTATGGAGATACATGATATCGGCTGAGCTCCTATCATCAACTAATATATTCTTAACCAAAAAGTTGGCCACCAACGTTGTGATTACCAAAGTGTCGACATAATCTTCATCTGGGTCTTCAAGGTCCGAGGAGTTGAAGACTATGCTATGATCAGGTCTTCTTATCTAGTAGACAGATGCGGATGGAGACGCATGTTCTTGATTCATACGCGCTGATAGAGCTAGGGTGCGTCTCGCATTTTGTAAGTCGACATCTGGTCCTCCGGAGATAAAGGCCATGACCCCTCTCATCCCGTCGCTGCTGTTGATCTCGATTGTTTTCTCGGCGTGGGAGGTCTTCACGCCGCTTATTTCCGGGCTTATCGATGTATTCGCCTAAGTGCCCCTGCTTGATCAGCTTCTCAATCGCCAATTTGAGTTGTGCACATTCCTCGGTAGTATGTCCTTTATCTTTATGGAATCGACAATAGCGATCCGATCTTTCTCGTTTTGCGTTGGGCTGCATCGGATGTGGAGGCTCCGCCAGACCTTTTTGTTCTATAACATGAAGGATTTCAGTGAGGCGAGTGTTTAGTGGAGTGAATCGATTATAAGATGAAGTTGGTTGGCCTTGAGGTGGGGGTGGAGGACGTCGATCATCTCGTCTCCTAATGTCCTGGCGATCATCTTCTCTCTTCCTCTTGGGAGGGGCGTGGGTAGAGGCTTCCTTCATGCGTATGTACTTCTCGGCTCGATACAACAACTCATCTAAGTTGCCAGGAGGCCTTCCGGCGATAGATTCTTTGAACCTACCCGACTTCAGGTTTTGCTGCATGATCCCTGAGAGCATGTCTTGTCCTACATTGGGAACTTCATGGACAACTTTCACAAAACGCCTGATGTAGTTGAAGAGTGTTTCGTTATCGCTTTGTACGATAGAGAAGAGATGTGCTGAGGTTTTGGCGTATTGCTTGTTGATGGAGAACTGGTTGGTGAAGCGTTGCGATAATCGAGAGAAGGTGTTGATTGATCTTGTGGGTAAATAATTGAACCAATTCATGGCCCTCTTGGAGAGAGTGGTGCGGAACATCTTGCACATTGATGCATCTATCGGAAACCCCTCCGACGCTCAAGTCATACGTGCGGATAGTCGGTAATAGTAGAGAGAGAATACGAGCAGATGAATCGGTTGAATAATAAAAGCGTACCTTAATTAAATGAATTTAAGTTCTATTTATAATTCATTCATTGGGCCGAGATCAATTTATCGAACCCAACCCTTATTTGAATGTGATTGAGCCTCCCTAGAAATTGCTTTTAAACTGGCCCTGTGGCCCAGTAAATATGGGTCTAATAGGCTGGGCCAATAGGCATATCTCATATTCTTATTTAAGTTTTTTCTTCACTTTATTTTAACTAAGTTATTGCAAATTTATATAACTGAATTGTTATTTATTAATATAACTAAGTTGTGCAAATCACCGCACGTCGTCGTTACTGTTAGTTTTATTTTATTTTTTATTTTTTATTTTTTTTCTCCGATAGAAAAATATTAGAATTTTGTGTTGCACCACGTACTATGTTTTATAGCTCAGTATATGATTCACTTGTTTTTTTTATGTACTTCGTCTTACAATATTGCCCTTCAAAAATATATAAGAGTACGACATCACTAATGCTTTAGTAAACACCAAATGCTTTTAAGGAACAAAATTAAGAAAAATTAAGAAAAATCATAACAACACTAATATTTGGAATGAGTGTTGAATATAATTTATTTTGACACTATACTTATCAATCAAAATTCAGAAAATTAATCAAAAGGCACACACTAGTGTTTTATGTTGACCCGTTCAATACAACAACATTAAAAACTTTTTATTTTTATTTTTGTTGGTTCCACAGTAACCTTGGCTGTCAACAACATATTAGTATTGTCTAAAAAAATCAAATAAGATAAAATAAATAATTGATATTACTTTACAAGGCAAAAAAAAATTAAAAAAAGTTAATGTTACTGTGCTGACTGGATTAAAAAAAAAAAAAAAACTCAACATAGGTAAAAAACAACGACGATCAAAATTGGGGTCAATGATCAAAATTAGCAATTAATGAATTTGAGGTTATATTAGAATTTGATTGATAAAATTGGAGTACCTTATTAGAATTTGAGGGGTGTTTCTCTTTGATAATCTTTTATGAAAAGAGAGAATCATGGTTGTGCTTTTAGATGAATTATTTTTTTCTCATACTTAGAGCCTGTTTGGCTAAGCTTATAAGCTCCTAAAAACATCTTATAAGATGTTTAGGAGCTTATAAGTTGTTAAAAGGTGTTTGGTAAAAAAATTGCAAAAGATCTTATTTTTTTCAAAAATAAGCTGTTAGGGAGCTTATAAGATGTTTTTTTTAAAGTACCTCTACCCCACCTTTTTTCTTTAAGATCTTATTTGCTTCTTTACTAAAACACTAAAAATACAAAATTACCCTCAACTAGTTTATTATATTACATGAATACTAATAATATTTATATTTTATCAAACAACGTATTCTTGTAATCAAAATTAATAATTAGTTAAATATACTTATCGTAATTATTATAATAATTGTAAAAACAATTACACGAATATTCTTATTATCTCCATAATAAATTATATTTCTTTCATCTACAAAAAAAAAAATTATATTTCTTTTACAACTTTTATTTTATATTATTATATAATTTTATATTAATATTATTATTTGAAAAAATAATTTGTAAATATTATAATAATATTTTAGGAACAAAAGTATTTGAGTCAAATAAGTTTAACAATTATACTGGCGTCGCGTCGTGTACTTTTTTGTCATTATAGCAATAAACAGACCTTTTATTTCCAAACACCTGAACAACTTATAAAAACAAAAAGTAACTTATAAGCTATATATCCAAACACCTTAAAATATATTTTTTAAAATAAGATCTAACAGCTTATCAGCTCCTAAAACATCTTATCAGATGTAGGAGCTTATAAGATATTTTAAATAAGCTTAGCCAAACGGGCTCTTATTTATTTATAAGTTATTTCTTATGGGCCACTTAATAATTGATCATAACAAAAACTCAAGGAAAATTTATATTACTATTGAGCATTAACAATTAAGTGGAAAACACAGTTTTCATCCCCTAAGTTTGAACTGATTTCGTATTTAGTCCCTCATGTTCACAAAGAAACACAATTGGTCCCTCATGTTTAAGAAATTCAACACATTTAACCATTTCCGTTAATTTTTCGTTAATACTAATGGAATCAAGCATGTCTCCGTCACTGCCTTAACTGACAGACTACGATAAATTGATGGAAATGACCAAAAGTGTTAAATAATATAAAGATGATCAAATGTATTTTTCGTGATCATTAGGGACCAATTATGAAATCAATGCAAACTCGAGGGATGAAAATTATACGTTCCCCTTACAAATAACCATTTAAACAAAAAGATAACTCTTATACCGAAATATTCACAATTAATTAATAACAACTTTAGATTATTAAATACGGATGGTATATATCAAAATGTAGATACATATTATTTGTCTTTCTAATTTAATTCGGAAAGATAAAGTTTTCGTCCTTCAAATTTGCACCGATTTCACATTTAGAGTTTACAAAAAACTCATTTGGTCCCTCATGTTCAAAAATTCAATATTTTTAGTCATTTCCGTCAATTTTCCGCTAGTACTAACGCAATCAAGATTGTGTGCATCACAACCTTAACTGACGGACTAACGGAATGACCAAAAGTGTTAAATTAATAGAAAGTAAAATATGAAAAATAGCTAATGTAGTTTGTGTGATATACAATGTGGATGAAAAATCTGCCTATAAATTTGGTTGATTTCACATTGAAAATTCAACAGAAAAGATGGCGAAGGCGAGTACTGCACCTAAAATTGTTCTCTTTGCTCTCCTTCTAATCATCTCCTCAGGTAAAGTAACCTATGATTCTAAATGAATTCTACATTTATATTCCCCAAACCATATTTTCAATAAACTGGAAATCTAATAAGATAGCTCAACAAAATCTCGAGCGCTCGACTTTTCTAATTGTTTAATAATTAATTTCAAAATTATTGTAATATGCAGTTATACCTTGTTCCTAAAAAATGTTTGGAGTCGAAGCCATGGAATTGCAACCAACAGGAACTACTAGAGTTGTCGTTGCCGTGTCATTCGTCTTGTAAGACAGATCAAGACTGCGTTGATGCTCATTGTGGTAGCAAATGTTTCATCTTGAAGCGCCATTTTAAAATGAGTAATTGTCTTAGCTTTTAATGCCATATTTCTTCAAATTATATTCAATAAAAATAAAATGGGGAGTGTTCACAATAATCATATATAGCCAATAATAATTTCATGTAATGGTTTACAGATTGTAAGATGAAATCAAATAAATTCACCTTTATTTTCATTTATTTTGAGGTTTTGATGCATTTTTACTACTGATATATATATGTAGTTTTACACAAATACGGTTCGCTCATAAAAATCTATCTTCTGCCTTTATGTTCATATATTTGACACAAATGCGGGATAATTATATTTTTCGCCCCTATACTTTGTCACTTTTTTGATTTTCGTGGCCTAATAAGATGAACTTACAATTTACGTCCCTAAACATGCCATTTTTATGTTGTTTTTGTCCCTCCGTCTATTTGTCTAGTTAGTATGGACGGAAAATAGCATGGGCACCGCACATAACACTAAAGAAAAACTCTCCATTCATGTAAAGGTATGATTGTAAGAGAATTTCATAAATACCCAATTTTTTTCTTCAAAATCCTAATCCTCAATTTTCGAAATCTCTAAATTCATTATTCACCATTGAAATCTTCTCAGCAAAACTTCAAATCACAATTAGAAAATACACAATTCAAATTTGAAAGTTTGTTCAATCAAAATAGCTAGTTTTAACACCCGATGCAACGGATTAAGAGTAAATTTCATTCTCTTTATCTATCCTGAATTTTCAATTTCCACTACAAGAAAAACTTCTTTGCCCGAGAAAAATATTCATCACAGAAGGTCCATATCTCATACTTTCTAATTGAATTCTGCACTTTTTAACAGTGCTTTCAAGTTTTGCTGAGGAGATTTCAATGGTGAATTAGGAAGGAATTTAGAAAATTTGAAAATTAGGGATTAGGATTTTGAAGAAAAAATTGCGTATTTTATGAAATTCTTCTAAAAATCCTAACTTTGCAGGGAAAATTACACTTTTTGTCCTTTAACTTTACCACTAAAACGACTTATGTCCTAAAAAAAATTTCATCCACGAAATATGACCTCAAACTTGCCACTTTTGATCAATTTATGGTCTGCCCGTCAACGTCGTCAGCCAACTTTGACAGAAATAGCATAGGTGGCTCTCGTGACGTCTATCTGGGCGTTAAATATGACGTGGAATAGCTACCTACATCGATCTGGCCAAATAAAAAGACGTGGGGAGTGACACGTAACTCTCTTCTTCTATTTCAATCTCACCAACACTCACATTTCATTACACCCAAATACATTGAACCAAAAAACAGAAACCTTACCACCAAATTATCTATAGAAAGCTTAAAATTGAGGTGAAATTCCGCAATAACAAGATTGCCCACCCCTAATTTCACAGAGTTTCGAACATTTGTGGAGCTGGAACATCATAATCGAGCAACAATTTATAATTTTGAGTAAGTTGCTTCAAAGTTGATATCTTTCAACTTCAATTTAAGGATTTTGGGAGGTGTGTGGTAGTTTTGATTTCACCCAAAGCAGTGCGGAGTCTTGAAGGGAAGAACTTTGCAATGTGAGAAAGTCTGGATTTTTTATGGGTTAATGATTTCGAGTTTGGGATGGGTTCGACCAAGAATGCAGATTGTATTGGAAATTTGGGAGTGGGTTGAAGAGATTAAAAGATATTTTAGAATTGAATAGGTAGGGTTTATGAGAAGAACCGTGAAGTGAGTTGGGAGAGTGAGGTAGAAATGTGAGGGAAAATTAGTACATTTGTTTGTCGGGTCAACATTTCAATTCCACGTGTTATTCCACGTCACATTTAACGGCCAGATAGACATCACGTGAGCCACACGTGCTATTTTCGTCCAAGTTGGCTGACGATTTAACGGCATAACATAAATTGATCAAAAGTGACAAGTTCGAGGACATATTTCTCGGATTTAAATATTTGATGACATAAATCGTTTTAGTGGTAAAATTTAGGGACATAAAATGTAATTTTCACTAACTTTACATGAATGAGGGGTGTTTTTTATGTATCATGTGCGGTGTTTAGAGACGGAGTGACGAAAAGAATTGGAAAAATAGACGGAGTGACGAAAAGAACATAAAAGTGACATTGTTTATGGGCGTAAATTGTAACACTATCTTATTTAGGGACGAAAATCGAATACGTGGCAAAGTAAATGGAAGAAAAGTGTAATTATCCCTACATTTCAAGACATTAAAGTATATTATATGAGAAAAATATTGTAATGAAAGTATATATATATATATATATATATATATATATATATATATATATATATATATATATATATTTCAAGAGGGAAATACAAGATCTTTTAAAAAGATGTTGATCAGTTTGAGCCAGAAAATAATACAAGTACAAATATTGAATTCGAGAGTAAATTGACCCAACCCTAATTGAAAACCGAAAGTCCAAATTCAAAAGACTTGAAAGGGGCGATTCCATAAAAACAAATTTCTTAAAGAAAATAATAAGACAGATCGAAATAATACTAAAATAAAATAAAAAGCAAAAAATATTATTAAAAATCAATGAGCTACAACTATCTTAAATGTTGCATTTCAACAACAATAAAAAAAATAAAAAGAAAAAAGAAAAAAAACAACAGCAAAACATACATATTAAGTGATATAAGCGTTTTGAACTAATTGGTGATGCACCACTATGTTTTGTAAGTGAATATATGATTCACTTGTTTTTTTAACAATGTACTTTTTACAATATTGTCCCTGCAAAAAATAATAAGAGCACGACATCACTAATGCTTTAGTAAGCACCAAATGCTTTTGAGGAAGAAAATAAAGACACCTTAAGAAAAATCATCAAAACTACTAATATTTGGAATGAATGTTAAAAGTGTTTTATTTTGACACTATTCTTATTAATCAAAATTCCGAAAAATTAACCAAAAGCACGCATTAGTGTTCTATGTTAAACGTTCGTTACAACAACATAAATTTATTTTGTTGTGTTACACAATAACATTGCCGGTCAACAACACAATAACATTGTCTGAAAGAACAATAATAATTAATATTATCTTATAAAGCAAAAAAAAAAAGTTCAAACAAATTAATGTTACTATGTTGACTGGATTGAAAAAAAAAAAACTTCAACTTCGGTCAAAAGCAGCGGTGGTCAAAATTAGGGTTAATGATAAAAATTGGTCAATTGATTAAACTGAGGTTATATTAAAGTTTAATTGATGAAATTGGAGTAACTTATTAGAATTTGAGGATTGTTTGTCTTTGATGATCTTTTATAAAAAGAATCATGTTTGTGCTTCAAGAAAAAATAGTTTTTTGTTATACTTATTGTTTATAGGGGTTTTTGTGCATAAGTCCCTACCCAATCATCTTTATTATTATAGGTTTAGTGGTTATATCTCTTTCGCCAATAATTTCATCCTTTTAATATTTATTATACATAAAGGAAAAATTCATATATATGAACAAATTACCCCCAACTTTTTACACCAAATTCTTAATCGTAACCCCAATTTAATCAATTTTGACCACAAAAACCCAATTTTGACTTTTTCTTAAAACTTTTTTTTTCAAAATTAATTTTTTTACCGCCGGTTTACGGCGTTGACTTTTTCGATTTTTTTTTCTGGTCTGCTTTTTCGCCGCTCGATTCCGGCGTTGATTTTTTTTTTTGTTAACGTCTGCCGCTAAACGTTGACCGTAATTGTGTTGTCATTAACGTAATTATACTGTCACTGACAGTAAATTAACGTAATTATACTATCACTGACATAAATTAACGTAACTATATTGTCACTTATAGTACAATTAGAGTCAACGACAATTTTATTATTTTTTTGGTTTTTTTTTGTATGATTTTGTTTGATATGTTGACAAGTCGAATTAATTATATTACTGCCGTTGACAGTAAAATAACTGTAAACACAATAATATCACTGTCAACCACATCAATATTATTATTTTTTTGGGGTTTTTTGTTTTGTTTGAGTTATTCACGGAGTAACCTAATAATATTAATGTCTATTATTGTAATATTATTGTACATACAATAATATTACTGTGGTTGACGGTAATATTACTGTCAACCACAGTAATATTAATTTTTTTGGCTTTTTATTATGTTTACCTTTGTTGAACGGTCAACATATTAATATTTCTCCATTACACAATAATAGTGACTTTTGTTGTGTTAATACTATTGTGCTAGAGACTAATATAGCAATATAACTGTGTTAGACTATAGTATAACTAATTTTATTGTGTTTAACAGTAATGTAGCTAATATTACTGTCAACCACAACAATATTGTTGTTTAAACGGGGGGCAAAAAGATGATAAAAAAATCAGAAATCGAAAAAGTCAACGCCGGAAACCGGTAGCGGAAAAACCACGAAGGAAAAAAATATCGAAAAAGTCAACGCCGGGGCGTCGAACTGCGGATAAAGCCGGAAACCGGCAGGCAAACAAATAAAATCAACGACGGCGACGGACGAAATTGTCCATAAAATTGTGTTTTGGGTCAAAATTGAATAATTTGTGGAATTTGGGGTCAAATTGAGGTTAGATTAAATTAAAGGATGAAATTGGGGCATATTAAAATATGAGGGACTATTTTAGTATTTTACAAACATCTGACCCATGTGTGGATTTTTTTGTAAAAGAGTCTATTGTTTGAACCTCTTTATGAATAAGTACCCATTGATTGACTTATTTATGGAATGTCGTTGTTTATAAGTTAATTCTTATGGACCTATTGATAATTGCCCATAAGGAAAACTCAAGGACAATTTGTATTATTATTGAGTATTTAGAATTAACCATTCAAACAAAAAGATAACTAACATATATAAGTAGTATGTATGTAGTATGCATGCATAAAGCATGAGGACATGATCTAATTCTAAGTACACAAGCAATATTGTAAAACATATAGCTCATGAGGTTTGTGTGGAGCAAATTTGCCTATAAATTTGGTTGATCTCATATTGAAGATTCAACGTAAAATGGCGAATACTGCACTTCAATTAGTTTTCTTTGCTCTCCTTTTAATCAGCTCTTCAGGTAAAACTTAAAAGCCTCTCGATAATTAACTAAAACTCGAGCTCGACTTTTTCTTGTTGTTTATTACTTTCAATTTTATTATGTGCAGGTATACATTGTTTCTCAAAAAAGTTTGAAGTGGAAGCCATGGAATTGCAACCAACAGGAATTATTAGAAGGGATTCCACTGCCCCATGCCATGCGTCTTGTGAGACACATCAAGACTGCATTGATGCTAATTGTGGTAAAAAATGTTTCATCATGTCACGCCCTATTAATAAAATCAGTCATTGTCTTAGTTAATTAATGACATCTTTCTTCCAATTATTTTCAATAAATTAAAATGAACTATGGAGTGTTCGCAATAATTATAGGCAATAATAATAATTTGATGTAACGGTTGTTGTGATTGTAAGATGAAGTTAAATAATTTATCTTTGTTTTCATTTACTTGGAGTTTTTGATCCAGTTTTGCTACCTATATGTATACATTTCAAGACACTAAAGTATATATATTTGAGCCAAATATTGTTAAAGACTATACATTTTTATTTCTAGAGGGGGAAAACAAGATCTTGCAAGAGATGCTGAGTTTGAGTAAAAAAATACAACTCCAAATATTTAATTCCAGAGTTAATTGACCAAACCCTCGAATTACCGTTATTAATGAACAAAATCAATATCCAGAAGAGTTGAAAAGGCGATTCCACAAAAAAAAAACTAAATAATTCCACAGATCGCAATAGAAGATTGTAACTCGAACTATTTTATTTAATCAATAAACTTTAATTTGTAAATAATTTCTTGCTTGTTTATGATTTCACGACCATTACAACTTGTGAATGACACCATGCAACTATCGAACTTAGAATTTACGTCCGAACAACCAACGGGGTTGTCATAGAATATCCTGTACTCCTCCACGTTAAGGATCCAAAAACATGATCTTTCGAAAGAGCAATTACCTCAAAGTATACAGTAAATTTGATGATTTGCCCAACCCTATTAAACACTAGTCTTTGAGGTACAACACTAACTTTGAAAACCTATTGAAGGTACAACAATTGCTTCGTACGCATTCTCTGTCACCCCAACATTTGCCAATGTTCGAGAGATCGAAAACGACTTGTTCTGATTCAGAAACATAGTTGATGGATAGTTAAGGTCAGATGGTTCCTGAATTTTTTTGGGTAAATTATGAAAACTCCCGAACTTGGGCTAAATAACAAAAAACACCCCCATGGCCACCTATTCATAATTATCAAAATTCCATGTGGTTTGTTTCCGTCTTACACCAACCCCCCTTACAGTGTGACTTTTCACGGATTTTATTTATTTCAGGGAATAGACTTTACAAAATTTCATATGTTTTCTTTTATTTCTCACCTATTAACATAAGCTATAATAGACTGTACACATTTCATGTTGAAAAACCCGATCAACAATTAATTAGAGAGGGATTTTGGTTATTACGGATAGGTGTGAGTGTTTTTTGTTATTTACCCTAAGATCAGGGGGTTTTCGTAATTTGCCCTTTTTTTTTTTATTACAAGTGTTGTTGTCTCCTGTTATCATTTGAATGTTTTCATTGTTAATCATTGGTTGTTGCTTCGTATACTAGATCGGGATCGAGGGCTTGTGTTGGGTTCACAAAGGCAGAGCCAAAATCGAATGGGTTCGCCTTTCGTCCATCGGGACCCGCTGTAATAGGTTTCTTCTTTTTGTCCAAAGTAGTAGTTGAAATAAGTCATTACATTAACTTTGACAAAAGAACCACCGGGATTAAATTATATGAAAACTTAGAACGTACTGCATTAAGTTGCAGGTAATTCATGTGATATAAGTAGATTATTTATACAATATATTGTTTAATAATTTAAATGATTAAAATTACCATAAAAAGGTTTCTTTACAAGAATATATCTAAAAAATCTAAACAATACAAATTATTCAAAACCTTCCCCAAGTCGACAAACTTTGGCAAAGAGAGTAGAAAAAAGAAAAAGCTGAAGCACGCAAATTTTATGAGGAAAATACATTTTTTGTCATTTGATTCTCATTGTTCATTAAAAAATATATTTAGTCTCTCATGTCTCAAACCTTTAACAATTTTGACCATATTAGACAATTTTTCGTTAGTAGCCCTAACAAAATCAAGCATGCGTTCATCATTGTCCTAACTCCTAACTAACCGACTAACGTTAAATTGATGAAAAAGACCAAAAATGTTAAATTGTTTAAAGGAGTTTTTGTGCATAAGTCCCTGAACATCCATCTTTATTATTCTAGGTTCATGGGCTATATATCTTTCGCCAATAAGTTCATCCCTTTAATATGTATTATAAATAAAGGAAAATTATTGTATATGACAAAATTACCCCCAACCCTTTACACTCAATTCTTAATTGTAACCTCAACTTAATCAATTTTGACCACAAAAATCCAATATTGACTTTTTTTTAGAATATTTTTTTTTTCAGAAATTATTTTTTTGCCGCCGGTTTCTGGCGTTCACTTTTCGATTTTTTTTCTTTTTTTCTTTTTTTCTTTTTCCGCCGTCGGTTCCCGGCGTTGACTTTTTATAGTGATTTTTTTTATCCGTTTTTTTTACGCCCGCCGCTTAACGTTGACCGTAATTTTACAGTCACTGACAGTAAATTAACGTAATTATATTGTCGTTGACAGTACATTAACGTAATTGTACTGTCGTTGATAGTATATTTATGTAATTGTATTGTTGTTGAAAGTACAATTAGAGTCAGCCACAATATTATTATTTTTTTAGGTTTTTTTCTTTTTTAAATTTGTGTGATTTGTTGACAAGTCAACGTAATTATATTATCGTGGTTGATAGTAAAATATTTGTAAACAAAATAATATTTATGTCAACCAGATCAATATTATTATTTTTTGGGTTTTCTTTATTTTGTTTGAGTTGTTGACGGAGTCACGTAATAATATTAATGTAAATACAATAATGTTACTGTGATTGACGGTACTATTACTGTTGTTACTGTAATATTACTGTCAACCACGATAATATTAATTATTTTGGCTTTTCATTATGTTTACCTTTGTTGAACGGTCAACATATTAATATTATCTATTACACAATAATAATGACTTTAGTTGTATTAATATTACTGTGCTAGAGATTAATATAGCAATATTATTGTGTTAAACTATAGTATAGTTAATTCAATGTGTTTACAGCAATATAGTTAATATTACTGTCAACCACATCAATATTGTTGTTTAAATGTGGGGCAAAAAGATGTTAAAGAAAAAAAAATCGAAAAAGTCAACGCCGGAAATCAGCGTCAAAAAAATTAGGAAGAGGAAAGAAAAAAAAAAGTTAACGCCGGAGACCGGCGGTCAACAGCGACGACGGACGAAATTGTACTCAAAATTGTATTTTGGGTCAAAATTGAATAATTTGTGAAATTCAGGGTCAAAGGTTAAATTTAATTAAATTAAATGATGAAATTTGATCATATTAAAATGTGAGGGACTATTTTAGTCTTTTACAAAACTCTGAACAATGTGTGAACTTTTTTATAGAAGAGTTTTTAATCTAAACCCCTTTATACCCATTGATGGGCTTATTTGTAAAGTGCTCTTGTTTAAACACGTGCCTATAACTGTCTTAACTAACGAACCAACAGTAAATTGATAGAAAAAACCAAAAGCGTTTAAAAATTAGTCGGTAAAAAAGAAGACACATTTCTTTGCAATAGTCGATCAATGATTTGACTAACGAAATTAGAAAAAACGCTAACGACAGAAGTGTTTGATGTTTTTTATACTTCAAAGAATAAATAATACCTTTCGCACAACGGAGTGCAATATGAATTTTACTCTATTTTAAACCAAATCAATTCACTACCCTCGAGATTGAGATTCCAACTTGTGCACACAGTATTTGCAGTACTGACCACATGCTAGATCTCAATGCATATACATGTGTGTATATAAAATTAATTATTTATATTATCAATATCTTGAATGATTCTTTTTTTTTTTTAATGAACACGCCACGGGCATGTGTGCATTATTTAATACTCCCTGTGTCCCATATTATATTTAATATTTGGGATATCTTTTTCCCAAATTATTTATTATTTTAGGATTCAGTAAAGCAGTAATTCATTTTTATCAATTTCACTCTTTGTTATTCTTAATTACTTAATTAAAAAATAAATAATGATAAGATTATTTTAATGTTTACTATTTTATTTATTGTATAATATATGCATATTTATTGAGTATCTTAATATACGCACAACTAGCCAGAGCGACATATAATATGGGACGAAGGGAGTTTCTAATATAGCTACAAGTATTGGTGAAAGTCAGATGGATCAAATCGGAATTTGGAAAATTTCCAAAAAAATTAAGAATTACAAAATCAGTGCCAAATCCAATTTCAAAATTCTAAAAATATAAAAATTTATTCCAAGTTGAAAAGACTCGGCAATTTTGGAAATCAAATAAGTTTAAAAATTTCAGAACGTAGCGGAATTTTTTTGAAAATTTGCAATGTTTGGAACCATTTCTATTTTGTTTTCATTGTTTCCCCAAAACAAAATGAGATTTATTACACTTTTCAAATTATTTTTTCAAAACAATTTCAAAAGTTTCTCTCTCCTTCAGACATGATGTGACTGCTACAGTAAAATGATTTGACTGCTAGAGTAAAAAATGTCTTCACTAAAAAACAAATAAACATCACTTCATCTTTGAATTTTTTTCTTAAAAAATACATTTTTCTAACACATTTAAACATGATTTGACTGCTACAGTGTATTTTGTCTCCTTCCAAAATACAAACAAACATTACTTTCATTCTCAAATTATTTTCCCAAAACATATTTCCTCAAAATGAAATCAAAATAAGATTCAAAACGCTTAATTTTAAAAGATAAGAATATTCACGTCGATAAGAGTAAAACTAATAACTACTAAATTTAGTTCAAAAAAATAAATAAAAATAAACCACATCATATATCAATAAAACTTTTAACAACAATTCAATATGTCAGAATCATAAAACAAAATTTAAATCAAATTACTCTTCCAGAAAAGAAAAAAAAAATATAAATTATATTATAGTATTATAAATTATATATAAGTTTATTTTTCGGAAGAAAATCGGAAATTTACGGAATTAGTTTTATAAATTAAATCGGAAATTCCAATTTTCTTTTATACAATTCCATTAATTCCAATCTAAAAAATCAAAAATCGAAATTTCGGAAGTCGGAATGAAAAATATTATTACAAAATCAGAACTTTTCGAATCGAAACCTACGGAAATTGGAGCTTCCGTTTCAACTTGGACTGACAATTGTCAACTCTGTAATCACCTAATCTAACCATATATAACTAATATATATATATATATATATATATATATATATATATATATATATATATATATATATATATATATATATATCGTCATCGCTAGCTGAAACAGTGAAAATATAATAGAATCAATCTTGCAATTACCTCCGCTATGGATTGTCGGTCAGAGGAAGATGCCTTTGTATTCGCCACCCAACTGGCCATGGCGGCGGTGTTCCCAGCAGCACTCAAAACCGCCGTGGAGCTCGACCTTTTCGAGCTCATCAAGAAATCCGGCTCCGGCGCCGCCGTCTCCGCTCGGGAACTCGCCGCCCAGCTTCCCGCCTCCGCCAATCCCGACGCACACGTCATGCTCGACAGGATCCTCCGCCTCCTCACCAGTTACTCTGTCCTAAATTCCAGCCCCAGAAATCTCCCCGGCGGCGGCGGCGGCGTTGACTTGGTGTATTCATTAGCTCCGGTGTGCAAGTACTTGACAAAGAATGAAGATGGAGTTTCTGTATCTCCCTTTTTGATGCTTATTCAAGATCAAGTCCTCCAGAAGAGCTGGTAATTTACATTTCCTTGATCATTTACATTCTCTTTTATTTTTAATTACACTGATATATTGTGGGAAATTACTCAACAAAAAAAAAAAAGAAAAAAAGAAGAAAAAGTTACTCCAGAAAAAGATATACTGTGAGACAAAAAATACAGTTTTCGTCCCTCGAGTTTGCAGCAATTTCACATTTGGTCCTCATATTCACAAAAAAATACATTTGGTTCCTCATGTTTCAAAAGTTCAACACTTTTAGTCATTTTCTTCAATTTTCCATTAGCACTAATAGAATCAAGCGTGTGCGTTGCATTGACTTAACTGACGGACTAACGATAAATTGAATAGAATCAAGCGTGTGCGTTGCATTGACTTAACTGACGGACTAACGATGAATTGAATAGAATCAAGTGTGTGTGTTGCATTGACTTAACTGACTGACTAACGATAAATTGACGGAAATGACCAAAAATATTAAATTATTAAAACATGAGGGACCAAATGTGTTTTTTTTTAACTACGAGGGACCAAATGTGAGATATGTGCAAACTTGAGGGACGAAAACAATATTTTAATACTCGAATCCGTTACAAAAGTTAAAACTCACCATTCAGCGCTACTATTTCATTAAATTAGTAAAACATCTGCTCCAGTATTGATTTGACAGGGGACGAGTAAGAAAGAAAAAAAAATATTTTATTCTTTCAAACCAGGGAAAATTACAGTTTATGTCCCTAAACTTTACCACTAAAACGATTTATGTGCTCAAACATTTCAATCCACGAAATATGTCCTCAAACTTGCCACTTTTGATCACTTTATGTTCTGCCGTTAACGTCGGCAGTTAACTTCGACGGAAATAGCACGCGTGGCTCACGTGACGTCTATGTGGCCGTTAAATGTGACGTGGAATAATATATTGAATATTAAATGTTGACGTGGCACAAGAATATACTAATTTTCTCTAACTCAATCTCCCAAAAGATTTTAGAGGAAACTTTAATTATTCCCCCAACTCCGTCTCTAGAACGTTGGGGTCGTGTGATTCTTCGCCTGCTGATGTTTGTGCCCGTTGTGGTCTCGATGAAGCGAGCACAAGGATGGTAAAGATGGCACAAATTCTACCCAACTCAGCAGTTTCAAACCTGTCCAGAAGGTGTTCGACAAAATGTCTGAACCAGTTCCGGAAAAAAAAAACATGCAGCACCTGTCAAAGCTGCATATAATTCTTTCTTCGCCAAGAATAGAATGCCCAAGAACGGATTCCAACTCCCTGACTTCCCCAACAAAGTGGAAGAAGACATGATATTTCAGCCCGAAGATGAAAGTGAAATCGAGGAAACATTCGACATTTGTTTATTGGGCTATTTTGCTGGTAAAACACCACGAAAAATGGCCATGGATTCACAGACGATTCTGCTATTTTCGAATTTCACCTCAATTGAAGGATTCGAAATGGGGTTTTAGGGATTGGATTTACGGGTTCATTGGGGATATGGAGAATTAGGGATTTTAGAATAGAAATAGGGAGGAGAATGACGTGTCGCTCTACATCACGTTTCGTCGACCAAGTAGGCACTGGGTGTTGTACAACTCGACATTTAACGGCCACATAGACGTCACGTGAGCCACGCGTGCTTTTTCCGTCGAAGTTAGCTGCCGACGTTAACGGCAGAACATAAAGTGATCAAAAGTGTCAAGTTTGAGGATATATTTCGTGGATTGAAATGTTTGAGGACATAAATCCTTGGGGTCTTAAGATATAAGTCCCTGGTGTCAAACCTTATTAGAACTAAATGACAAGTCTAACTAAAATTTGCTTCACATCCTTAATAAATTTTATTCCAAAAATGCCCTCCATACACAAAAAATAAAATCTGCACTAAGTAATATTTTAAACTGCATTTATAAAAAAAATCTGCTATATACATTTTAATTTTTGCATCTAATAATTTTGATATTTTTATGTTTAACACGGATTTTTGTTCTTCATTTTACTTTTTTTCTTCAGTATTATAAAAATCTTTTTTCCCCCTTTTATTCTACATGTTATTGAAAATTATGATTGTTTTTTTTTTCTGCTATAGTCACCAACAGACACCCATAGGAACTTGTAGTAATCGTAGTCACCCATAGGAACCCATAGTAATCGTAGACACACATAGGAACCCGTAGTAATCCTAATTGTCCATAGTCATTCGTACTCACAATTTACAAACCCTAACTTTGCCTTTGAACCCTAGCCGCCATCCATCTGTAGGCACAGTAAACCATAGTCATTCGTAGTCACACTCGTAAAAAAAAACGAAATCGTAAAAAAAATGAAACCCTAGATCTACAACCACAACGACAGATCTACCACCACAGCAGCGTCGCCGCCATAGCCATCGTCTTACCTTTTTTCCCATAACCACTCCCCAAAGTAATCGGATCCACCACCACCCTAACAGCCTCCATACCGACCGACTCCATAGCCGTCTCGGCAGTCCGTCATCCACGATAGCCGCCTTCATACCCATCGTCACCATAGTCGCTGCTAGGTCCACCAACCATCATAGCAGTTTTCATATCCAAGCCCCACAACCAGAGAACCGCCTCAACCAGTCCAGCAATACCCGCCATAGCCACCATACCCGCCGTTGCCACCATACCCGCCTCCATAAACAACCTACCATACCCTCCACCGCCACCTATCACTCAAAATCTGAAAAAAGAAAAAAAAATAGAGAAAAGGGGAAGATAGAGAAAAACAACCCATCGGCTACCATACCCACGGCCATAGCAATCAAATCTGCCAGAAAAAAAGAAAAAAATATAGAGAGAGAGAGAGAGAGAGGATACGGTTGAAACAAAGAGAAAGAGAAAAGGGGTGGGGTGGGGTGGGTTGGGCGACAGAGAAAAAAGGAATGAAAAATAAATGTGATTTTTTATTAGTTATATATTAAGGGTATTTTTGGGTTAAATAAAAATTCAAGGATGTGGTTCAAATTTTACTTACGACTAAGGATTTAGTTAAAATATTTTATTTGAGGTTGTCCCCCATATCTAATTAATTTTGATTTAAAGGGTGTCTAACATATTACCCCTAAATCCTTTTAGTGGTAAAGTTTAGGGACATAAACTGTAATTTTCCCTTCAAACCACATGTTAAATTTATTAAATAAAAAGTTTTATAGCCAAATCACATGCAATACCAGAATTTAACAGATTGTATACAAGATCTAATCAAACATATCGAATATCTTACTAACTAAACGATTAATTAGTCAGTAGAGAATTAGTCCGTTTATTTAATCTAAACTTATTCGACGTATGTATTTACATATAATTTCTGTAAATAAATTCATCTGATTTAAATCTTGAATATAATGTTAGGGACAACCTTAAAGATGCGGTACTTGATGGGGGTGTACCCTTCGCCAAGGCATATGGAATGAATGTGTTCGAGTACGGTGACACAGATCCAAGGTTCAACAAGGTTTTCGACCAAGCAATGTCTAATTATTCGACCATTGTCGTGAAGAAAATACTCGAGATATATGATGGTTTTGAGGGCATCGAATCTGTTGTAGATGTTGGCGGTGGAACCGGAGCAATACTTAACATGATTATTTCCAAGTATCCTTCGATTAAGGGCATCAATTTCGACTTACCGCATGTTATTCAACATGCCCCGTCTTATCCAGGTAATTATTTGTCTTCAATCTCGACGTGATGGAAATAATATATATAGTATATACATCTTCTACGAGTGAATTTGTAAAAAAAAAATTACCGAGTTGGGGAGTTCTAAATGAGTTCGTTTTTCGTTGACTCTTGATCTAATGGGAATTTATGGTGATAAAAATGACGGAGAAGCTTTTTGAGAATTAGAATAATTACGGGATGCCGAATGCCAAAAAAGAAAACAAAAACAAAATCAACTTCTATTTTAGTCTCGTATGGGATCTGATTGGTAAATTGTAGTGCATATTATAAGCTCCTTAAGCAAAAAAATATATTAAGGATTTAATTTATCTTTTTATATGATCGAATATTATCATATTTTGTGAAGAAATTAATAAATTAATCTATCATTTAAGCTTTAAAAAAGGGGCAATTTTATTAAAAACTCCTGGACACTAGTAACCTTTTAGTTTAGGACAGTCATATTTTTTAATTTTGCCAAAAGTCCCTCGAGCAGTTTATAAGTTAGGGAACTTAAACTGAAAATAATGGATGATCTAGCGGTTGGAGCAAGTGGTTATGTGTCAATTGACCCAGGTTCAAGTCCCCTTGCCAATGATCGCTAGGTCGAGTTTGTCACACATGATTAGCCTAGTGTGATTTATGTCTCTCGTATGGTTTCCAAACTATTATACGAGAGTGTAGGTTTACCCAGTGTACCTATATGCTTGGTTGTGGGTTCCTTCATTAAAAAAAAAAAAAAAAAAAAAATTAAACTGAAAACATGTTAGACTGAAAATACTCTACAGTCCACCAACTTATCCGTCCTCAAAACCACACTGACACCCAAAACTGCCATTTCTTCCATTTTTCCGTCTATCCCTATCTATCCCTGCTCGCCAACCGCCTTATTTCTGCCAAACGGTCTAGACTGTCTAGTTTTAGTATAAACTTTCTTAAGTTGTTTATTTTATGTCTAAAATGCAAATTTAAAATATCGATGCGGACTGTTAGCTATACAAAATATATTTTCCCTAAAACAAATCTCATATGATTAAGATTTTACAAGATTTTAAGTAGAGTTAGACAAACATCTGCAAAATAGGTTGAAATACTTGGACGCTAACGTAACATTAATTACGATGTTGATTTCATTTTTGACTTCGTCTTTTTAATTTATTTTCTGCAAATTTTAGAAATATTTGGTAACGATGGATATATGATTTAACAGGAGTGGAGCATATCGGTGGAGACATGTTTGTTAGTGTGCCTAAAGGAGATGCCATTTTCATGAAGGTAAGCTTCATTTCGAAAAAAAAAAACATTAATTACATTTTTTTTCCTTTACTTGATTTATATATGTACGATGATCATATATATAGATCAAATTAATGCCGTTACTATATCTAACGACTTCGTAAATTTTATTTGTTGCTCTATTGGACGACGCAGTGGATCGTTCATGATTGGAGCGATGAACAATGTCTTAAATTGTTGAAGAATTGCCATAATTCACTTCAAGAAAATGGGAAAGTGATATTGGCTGAGCTTATAATGCCAGAGGAACCAGATAAGAGTGTGGCCACAAAGACTGTTCTCCACTCTGATGTGCTTATGTTGACCCACAATCCTGGAGGTAGAGAGAGGACAGAAAAGGAATTTCACACCTTGGCTAAGGCGGCTGGATTTCGAGAATTTCGAAAAGTTTGCAGCCCTCACAATATTTGGATTATGGAACTTGTTAAGTAAATCCAAACACTTGTATGATGACTTTTTCATTTGTTTCCATTGTTATACTCAATGTTTTTAAAACCGGACCGGACATAGAACCGGACAAGCAACTGGGTCACGGTTGGACCGGGTTCAACCGGGGTTCAACCGGGTTTTCATATTTTTTTTATTTTTTTTAATATTTATATATAATTTTATAGTGACATATAATTTATAAATTAAAAAAACTACACCTATCACTAAATATCACCTGAAATTCAATTCATTAAGTATCCATAATAAATTTGAATAACATAAATTTTAAAAATTACAAATATCAAAATAAATTTATGAAAAAAAAATAGAGAAATAAAATTAAATTTTATAAGACTATCATAACATAAATTTTAAAAATTACAAATATCAAAATAAATTTATGAAAAAAAAATAGAGAAATAAATTCTCAATCATTGAAAATTTATTCTAATATGTAAATATATTTTAAATAATAAATTTATTAGCACATCAAAAATAAGTTTAAAAAAAAAAGGCAATAATAAAAATTAACTAAATTAATAAATAACACAGTATTGTTTTCATATAAATAACTAAAGATATCATCAAACCCTAACACATTCAGCCGCAACACTCTCAAGTCTCACCATCTACACTCTTTCTCCTTCTTTCCGCCGACAATGTCCAGAAGAACACAAAACGAAGAAAAAAAACATTTTTTATTTTCATTTTTTTCTCCTTTTACTATAATTTCTTCCTTAAATTATTCAACTCAAACATCTTCTTACAAAGAGGAGAACAAAAATTTCCGCTGATTATTATTGTTGCCATAAACCGGGTTTCATAGCCGGTTTTCACCGGTTTTGTCCGGTTCAACCGTGATTTGCCCGGTCCATAATCATTCCGCCCGGTTTTTTGGCTTTCGCGAGTTTTACAGTCGAACCGGACCGGACCAGTCACCGGTTCGCGGTTGAACCGGTTGAACCGGCCGGTCCGGTCCGGTTATGAAAACATTGGTTATACTTGTTGCACTTTTTTATACAATTCTACCCTTGATTATATATGTATGATTGTGTGTTAAATACCTTGTATTTGCATATGGGAAAATTACATTTTTCATCCTTCAAGTTTGCACCAATTTCACATCTGGCCTCCCATTTTCATAAAAAACACATTCGGTCCCTCATGTTTCAATAATTAAAAAAACTGTTCATTTCCATCATTTTACCGTTAACCCGCAGTAATGGTCACACGCTTGATTTCATTAGTAATAACGAAAAATTGATGAAAATGACTAAAAGTGTTGAATTTTTGAAACATGAGGGACCAAATGTGTTTTTTTGTGAACATGAGGGACCAAATATAAAATTGGTGCAAACTTGAGGGATGAATACTGTGTTTTCCCATCTTCATATTCAATTGGAAATTGTTTTTAAAATGATTTTTTAAGTTAAAAATGAGTTCCAATTATTTCATGTTCCAATATTATTCGGAATTCAAAAGCCATTTCGATTTTGGATTCCCGGAATTGGCGAAATTTCAAAATTGCATTCATTTATATTCTTTTTTTCTTTTTTCTTTTTTTTTTTAATTCGGAATTTTCTAGCAAAGGCAAGAAAATCCAAAAGTGAGTTTAACAAATTGCACTAAAACTGTAAGAAGAATTACACTTTTGGCCCCTCATGTTAGACCCGATTTCGCTTTTGGTCCCCCTTGTTCCAAAGTGAACAAAGTTCACCCTCAAAGTTCAAATTTAAACACTTTTAGTCCCTGCCGTCACATGCCCATTAGCAAGTAACGGAAAATACTATTTTGGGGCCAAAATAAAAATTAATTTTTTTTGGGGCTAGAAAACAATTATAAATTTATAAAATACTACTTATAATTAGTTTTTTAATAATATTAAATATAAATATTTAATTTTAATGAATAAAATGCAATATATATATATATATATATATATATATATATATATATATATATATATATATATG